GAGAAGGAGAGAGGGAGAGAAATATCAATGTATGGTTGCCTTTCATGCATCCCCTGCTGGGAACTGGCCTGCAGGGAACCAGCCTGCAACCCAGGCCTGTGCCCTGACTGGGAATCAAACCACGATCCTCTGGTTCGTAGGCCTGTGCTCAATCCACTGAGCTACACCAGCCAGGGCTGATTTCCATGATTTTTAAAAGATATTTTTTTAATTTATTTTTAGACAGGGGAAGGTGGGGAGAAAGAGAGTGAGAGAAACATCAATGTATGGTTGCCTCCATACCATACCGTATGCGCCCCCTACTGGGGACCTGGCTGGCAACCCAGGCATGTGCCCTGACTGGGAGTCAAATAAGCAACACTTTGGTTCTCAGGCTGGAGCTCAATCCACTGAGCCACAGCAGCCGGGGCTCAGAGTCTAGATTTCAGTGGAACTTGTCAGACCACAAAGCGCTCTGCCAACCAGCGTCTCCCTCCTCTGAGTGCAGAGACACTGGTTTTGCTGCTCTGTTAACAGTCGTTATCGGCTGCCTTACCTTAGCCTGGTCTGCACAAGTTTGCTGTCTCCCTTACAAGACTGGGAGCTACTTGAAACCAAGAACCACACCCTGGTATCTGCAGTGTGTGGCACAGGGCAGGACTGAGCATACTATGTTGGATGACTATAACTGAGATAAACAGGGCTCTGACCCATGGACCTAGGAAGGGGACGGTCCCAGGCACAGCTGGCTTGCTAGAGAGAATGCTTCTGCCACTTTCCCCCTGCCGTTCCTTTCAGAAATCCGGTTCCGCAGACCCTGTTGGGTTTCCTGTTCAACTGAAGTGAGCTCCCAGAGCAGCTTCTGGGCAGACCCACCGTGTTCCTCCCACACCCATCCATTCTTTTCCTCCAGCAAATTCCTTGAATACTAAGGGATTGGAATTCCTTTTCCAGCTCTTAGACCTGCTGTGAACTTCATCTCCTCCTCTTAGCTCCTAGCGCATGCGACGCCAACTCTTTGCAGAGTGGTGGATCAAACAGCGTTAGTCTCTTCCCCCAGAGATACATTCAGTGATGTCAACAGCAGGACAGTTTGGAAGATCAACCCCTGAAGACTCAATGTGTGCATGGAAAACCAGGGCCCTGGGGGCAGGGGCGGGGAGTGGCTGATACCCAACGGGGATAAGGTAAGGCACCTCTTCCCCCTGCTGGGACGTTTTTCATCAGGGTCCCCAAGCCCTACCTGGGACACTACTCCAGCAGTTATTGGTGAAAACAGCCAATAACTGTGGCCTCTCCCTTGCAGCCCTTCATGCCACAGGATGTGGACCCAGTCTGAGGCTGAGCCTGGGTGTGGACGAGACCTGCCCTCCCCGCCCTCTTGGCCAAGCCAGTTAGTTTCCAGGCAGAGCTGTCCCCCAAACCAAGGCTCAGACTCAGGAGGCCTCTGAGCCCAGTTTACTCTAACTCATGCACCTTTAAAAGGTGTACACGTCTCAATTCATCATCTAGACAAGGAGCGTGACCCTCAGAGAACTTAACTGGCTTGTCCACGGTCATCCAACCCGTCAGTGGGATCAGACCCTGGGTGGACCCTCACTTCACAGCTTCCCCTGTCTCTACCTTAACCTGGCCTGTGGCGAAATCCAGGGACACCTCTGTTAGCTGGCTAGCTGGCTGCTCAGGAACTAGGCTGTTCTCTGGGAAGGGAATTTTTGTGAGATTCCACCCAAGCAGCACTCTTTTGAGCCTCAGCGACCAGGTGGGACACACTGGGCCTCTGGCCTCCTCTGCCAGCTGCCAGCCTGCCGCACACCAGCCAGGCTGACCAGCCTGCAGTCTCCCCCGCACTGTGCCCGAACCCACATACACGGATCGTTTTTCTGTCTCCCTGCCCTTATCCACAGCTCAACCTGTTTTTTGTAATTGATTTGAGAGAGGGGAAGGAACATTGATTTTTATTTTCCACTTATTTATGCATTCATTGGTTGATTCTTGTATGTGCCTTGACTGGGGATTGAACCCACAACCTTACCATAAGGGGACAACCCTCCCACCCATCACCTGCAAGACAGGATTCAAGTTCCCCACTCTCTGCACCCTGGTGGGTGCTCTAGTGCATCAGACCCACTGTACGCTGCTCTAGGGCAGGCACGGAGCAAGCTTAGCACCCACCCTATTGGCCGGCAAGGGCCTGGCTCATAAGAGGCAGAAGTGGAAGTAATGAGGCTCAACTCTCTTTCAAAGATCTTCCTCGAAGACCAGAGAGCACTCTCCTGCCTCCGTCTGCCTGTCCTTGTGTCCAGGTGCGCCATCCTGAAGAGGCAGCGTGAGGTGTCCACGGACAGGATCCTCCCTCCCGAATGCCTCCACCTGGCCGTCATCCTACCCCTACAGTCTCAGCCCCTTGAGTCTGAAAGCTTCCCAAGCTTCCCAACTGCAAACAACAATGCGGGGAGGGGGGGTGACTTGTATTTCTAAGAATCAAAGAAATGCAAATCCAAACAACAATGAGGTGGCACTTTTGATCCAATGGGCAAAAATCCAGTGTTGAAAATACAACTTCAGAGGCATAAGTAAAGAAGCAGAGTCTGTTGGAGGAAAACGGAACGGTTTTGGGACCAATTTTACGGTAACTATAATGAAACACTTTCAAGCATGTGTCCTACAGAAACACTCACAGCCACTCACAGACTTGTAATCCAGGGCTGTCATCGGGGACCGGGTTGTGATCGTGGAAAAGTGGGCAGAAGCCAGGTGTGCGCTGTTAGGGGTTGGCTAAATCCACTGTGGCACACTCATCCAACAGATGTCCCTGTGGCCACTTAAAAAGATAAAGGTAGATCATATGTAACCATGTGGAAAGATGCCCCCTATCCGCTGTTACATGCGAAAAGCAAGTTGTACAAGTACATGTATAATAATATCCCTTTGTGTAGAAAAGAAAGAAGTGTGTGTGTGGTATGTTATTCATGTGCTCTGTGTCTGGTGTCTGTGTGTGTGTGTCTAACACAAACATTGGTCTCCTCTCTTCAAGGGTCACCTTTCTCTGGTACATTTGGGGTCAAGAGTAATATGTCTTCTAACTACTGAGCCGTCTACCTGGGGCCATTCCCAGACTGGATGGCACCCCAGCAGGCGCTCACACAGTGCCGCTGGGGATGGGACCCTGGGGCCTGCTAGGCCCCGTCTGTGTCACCTCCCTCCCCAGGCCTGCCTCCGTGCAGGGCTCTTGGGGAGGGCCGGGGTTAGCTGGAGAGCTGGAGTAACAGAAGGAGATGACAGAGAGGGTGGGGAAACGTTCAGCTGTCCTCTAATGATTAACTTTTTCTCCAGTGTGTTTTTGAAACAGAGAATGGTACACCTCGGGGTGCCCCCAGTCCTGGACTAGACCCGCCTTTGTCTCCCTGATGGCTCCCACACCTGCATGTGCAGAGCCGGGTCTTCAGGGGGACACGCGAGCAGGAAATATTTCTGTAGTCGGAGGGGAGAGTGCCAAGGAGGGGAGCCTGCCAGGGGAGTTCCCTTCGCGCACCCTGGGTTCCCAGCTCCGCTGCCCTGTCCCAGAGACGGCCCGGAGCTGGCTTTCCGTGACGTGCTGTCTGTGTTTATTCAGAGCCTTCAGGATTATAATCAAGGGGCTGATATTCCACATTGATATGACATATTAAACAGTTCCCCTCAGGTCGGTCATTTAGAGTGTTTCTAAGTTTTCTGTATTGATGGTGTTACCATGAACATATCATACATAAAGATTTTTGCTTATATTCGAATTTAAGAGTGAAGTCACTAAGTCAAAGAATATAATATAACTATCTTTATGGTCCCTACTAAAGATGGCCAAATGGCTTGCAGAAGATGACTCTGATTTATGACCCTGCCAATACCGGTGACACTACAGTGGAAGTCACCAGCGCTGGCTTGGTTTTTCAGTTGGCTGTTTAAGACGATTGTAAGTGGTACCTCAGCTGTTTTCCCAGTTTTTCCCCTTACTAGCAAGGGTGGAGTTTCGATTTTTAAAAGATTTGTTTTAAAAGTGTCCTAAGTTCTAGTCACAAGAGTTCTTTCTCTTCACCAGTCAGATCATAATAAATAGCATTAATGATGCTAATAACAACAATTAGAACAAGAATTATAATCCTTAGTGCTGCAGAGAACTTGACAGTTTACCAACTTTTACAAGCAGTATGTCTTTTATTCTGGCAGTAGGCGAGGCCAGGCAAAGATTCCCCATCCCCACCCCACCCCCTCCATTTATAGATAAAACCGTTGGAACTCTGCACAACCGGCTTAGCTTGAAAAGCAAGCCCACCAGAGCAGCTGTAGCTACTTGGGGGCGTGGTCTCTTTTCTCTGCTTCTCTGCGAGTCCCCGCCTCCTCTGCAGATCATCTTTTCTGCTTCTCTGTCAGCACCCGGGAGCCTAGAAATAGCAGCTGCCTCCGGGCTCTGCCCGTCTCTTCAGCTCAGGCTCCAACAGCTAATCAGGATCCCTGCCCCTCGGTTTACGTGTCGCAGCAGGGGCTCTGGACTTCCCAGCCTCCCAGAGTGGTTCCCCTCTGCTCAGGTGTCCATCCTGGGTTGGAGACAGAGTGGGGGACAAGGCCCTGTGGTACAATCAGAGGAGCTGGGGCCGAAGGCAGATCTCTTCGGAGGCTGTGGGAAGGGAAGCAGAGGCACACTTTTTAATTCAACACTGGCTCAAAGCTATCAGTGTGTGGGCCTCTGGGCCTGGCTAGTCCATAACAATAACACGCCAGTGATAATAGTTGCTGAGGTCTGCAGAGACTTCTCGGAGAAAACCCTCCCACAGGAAGAGAGGAGATGGCCTCTTTCCTCTCTCATCACACCCTTGAACCTCTGCGCAGGCCTCACTCAGCTCTGCCCACCGCCCTGGCCATGAGGTGCCTCACCAAGCAGGTCTCAGAAAGCCTGATGTCAGAGGGATAGGCAATCGGGGCCTCTCTCTGCTGCCCTGCCCACCAGGCTCAGACCCTCCCCTCCCCGCTCTGTTCCCCTGCAGGTGCGGATCTGGGAGATCCCGGAGGGCGGGCTGAAGCGGAACATGACGGAGGCTCTCCTGGAGCTGCACGGGCACAGCCGGCGCGTGGGGCTGGTGGAGTGGCACCCCACCACCAACAACATCCTGTTCAGTGCCGGCTATGACTACAAGGTAGGCAGCCCAGCAGGCTGAGGGCATGCGGAAGGAGAGAGAAGGGCATCTTTGGGGGCCTGCTGGAAGCACTGTTACTTTCCTGAGCATGTTAACCAGTATTGTCTCATCTGTTCATTTCTTCATTCACTACACACAACTGAGCATCTTCTGTGCACCCCATCATTTCTGGGGTTCACAGAGGCTGGAGGCATCTGTACTGCCTTCTCTAGTGCCGATGGACTGGAAGTGAATGCCACTCCGTGCCCACACTCTCCTGCTGGGGGAAAAGGGAGCAACCGGAGCTGCTGGAGGGAAGAGAATGGAGCCCCAGCCCCCACCCCCAGGCAGACCCTCAAAAGAGGTGTGCCAGCCACTGGAACCTGGCAAGGAACATTTACCCTTCTTGATAGTTGCAGAAACTGAGCCCAGGCTGGAGCTGGGATGTGCCCGAGGATAGTGGTGGATTTGTGTGACGGGGACACGTCGGCCTTTTATACAGAGCTCAACAACAGCATCCTTCATCCCAGCACACTCCGACCCTGCACGGGCATCTCTCCCAGCACCACTGGGTGTGGAACGGGGACAGGCGCCCTGTGACAGCAGCAGCAGGGCTGACCCCGACTCCTGCTCGTCTGCTGTCCCAGGTCCTCATCTGGAACCTGGACGTGGGTGAGCCTGTGAAGATGATCGACTGCCACTCGGATGTGATCCTCTGCATGTCCTTCAACACCGATGGCAGCCTGCTCACCACCACGTGCAAGGACAAGAAGCTGCGTGTGATTGAGCCCCGCTCCGGCCGTGTTCTGCAGGTGAAGCCCCGCTTGTTTTAGGGGAAAGGAAGGTACTGGGGCCTGGGGCTTAGCATCCAGCCAGGACCAGGGAAAGGCCGAGCCACCTCCCTTCTCCCATGCACCTGGCCAGCACCTCTGCTGACCATCCGGGTCTGGGCCCTTCTCAGCTCACAGGAACCCTGCCCTGTTCTGGGTGAGGAGGGGCTTTAGAACCCTTTCTTGTCCACTGCACTTGATCCCCAGAGGGGATTCTTCTGCTCTGCTCTGGGGGCTGAGCTGGCGACATCCTTCAGCCCGTGAATCCTTGGGTTTCGACGGTGAGGCTCACCATGGGCCCAGGAGGAGGGCATTTGGACCCGCTGCCCAGCCACCTGTGTGGGACGGGCCTGGCGGAAATGGCTGAGGCTGCCAGCCCCAGGGACAACTCCAAGTGAGGAGGCAGATAGTGAACTTAACTCCAGTTTTGGTTTTTTAGTCTCCTGGGTCTCGACTGTGAAGAAGGGTTGAGATGCCACTTGGGAATAGGAAATGAACATCCCCTGAGCTTCTGAGGCATGCCAGTCACCGAGGGGGACAGAAAATTTGGGCTGAATTTGAGATTTACCTACTACACTGGAAAAGGTTGGGGGTGACCTGGTTGTGTTCATCTCGGAGGAGTCCACTACTGTGAGGCCGGAGAGGCTCTGCCACTGCTTCTGCAAACAGTGACTCCCCGGGCATCAGCATCACTGGCAGCACGTACCCAGAATCCACTGTGCAGCCTATGGTGGGTCACGGCCCCCACGTCGTTCCATTATTTAGTGCTCCCGACAGTCCTCTGAGGTGGGTCCCCTGACTCTCCCCATTTCTCGCATGGGAACTCCGAGCCTTGGAGAAGGTAGAGACTTGCATGTCACAGTCAGGGAGGAGCTAGAGTTCAGTCCCAGCCAGATGGACCCAAGAGCCCATGCTGAACAGAAAAAGGTGTCAGAGAGCAGAGAACCCAGCCTCCCCCTCACGGCCATGGACACGAGCCCAGAGAGGGTGAGGGTTATGCTTTTCCTGGCAGAACTTGGGACTGAAATGCAGAGTGAGTGACGCCAGCCTGGGTCTTTGCACTGCTCGCCAGCCTCTGTTTTCTACCTGATGCTGACTCATGCCGGCAGAGGACGGTTGTGCATTGGCAGGAAAAGAAAGTGTCATGAGTTGCGAGGCAGAAGTGGCAGAGGATGGGTTTGTAGGAGCCCCTGGTGAAGCGAGTCATGAGCCAGCGAGCCAGTGTGAGCCCCCATCCTCCTGAACCTCAGGAGCCTCACCCTCCAAGGTTCGTGCCAGTAGGTATTGCTCTGCAGGTTAAAAGGGCCCTGCTGAGAGCCCTGGCACCCAGGGCGTTGCAGGCCCTGCCCAGGACTTGGTCAATGTTAGCTCCCCATTCTCCTGCCCCTGCCCTTTCTGGGACAAGGCAGAGAGGCCTGTGTCCCAGTCTCAGGGCTCCACCGCCCCTTGGCCCCTGTATGTGTTTCCTGGGGCTCCTGTAACAAATTACCACACTCGGGTGGCTCACAGCAAGAGGAATGGGTTCTCTCCCAGTTCTGGAGGCCAGAGTTCTGTCGGCAGCCACACTCCCTCCCGAGGCGCTGGGGGGGCGCTGGGGGAGAAGCCTCCTCCGGCTCCTGGTGGCTGCTGGCTTCCTTGGCTTGTGGTCACATCTCTCCAAACTCTGCCTCCACAGTCACTTCACCTTCTCTTCTCAGTCTCTGCAACCTCCTTATGCCTGATCTAAGGGCTCTCGTGACAGCATTTAGGGTCCAGTCGAATAATCCAGGGGATCCCCCTATCTCAAGGCTCTTAACATTACATCTGCAAAGTCTCTTTTTCCAAATAAAGAAACATCCACAGGTTCCAGGGATGAAGACATGGAGTGTCTTCTGGGCGCCACCGTTCAGCCCACCACAGGACCCTGGTGCCTGGGCCCTGGCTCACCAACTTTTTGTTCCCCCAGGAGGCCAGCTGCAAAAACCACAGAGTGAACCGGGTGGTGTTCCTGGGGAACATGAAGCGGCTTCTCACGACAGGGGTCTCCAGGTGGAACACAAGACAAATTGCCCTCTGGGACCAGGTCAGCCACAGGGAGGCCGGGTGGTGACATAAAAGGGTGGTAGCTCTGGGGACTGTGCTGGACTTTGGGAAGGTGAGGTGCCATCCTCCCGGACATAGGCTGATCCTGGCCCCCTCCCCGCAGGAGGACCTGTCCATGCCTCTGATCGAGGAAGAAATTGACGGGCTCTCTGGCCTCCTGTTCCCTTTCTATGATGCCGACACCCACATGCTCTACCTGGCTGGAAAGGTAGTGGAGGATGGGGGTGGGCCCGGGGCAGCCTGTGGGAGATCCCTGCCCCCATTGCGCCTCTGCTCCTCCCCTACACTTCTAAGAAGAGCCAGCCTAACCTGGGCCTTCACCAAATCCAACCTGGGTCTCCCTCTCTTCCATTGAAACCTACTCTTAAGCCTGACACTTACTCTTACTGAAGTGTCAATGGCTAAGAATTCCTTCAGAGGTGAATTGGAGAGGGTTTTACATCGGAATAAGGATCTGAGCCTGAAGTGTAGAAGACCGGGACTAATGATGGAATTTGAGGCGCCTGCCAGGAGATCTCTGACAAACATGGCCTTGTTTATCAGAAAAGCAACATATTATACACACACACCAGCAGCAGCAACACCACCACCATCACCCCTGGCAAGTCCCCTGTGGCAAGCCCACCAGGGGCCTAAAGGCCAGGCCTCCCTGGTCTTTGACCACCTTGGAGGCACAGCAGAGGCTGTCTTCAGCAGACCCCTGGACCAGGGCTACTCAGTCCTCCCCTCTCCCTCTGTCTTCCTCACCTCCCTCTCGCCTTGCCCTCAGGGGGATGGAAACATCCGGTACTATGAGATCAGCACAGAGAAGCCCTACCTGAGTTACCTCATGGAGTTCCGCTCTCCAGCACCGCAAAAAGGCCTCGGTAAGGAGTCAAGACACTGCGTGACTATTAGACTACAGAACAAGACACTGGACATTTGGCTCATGGGTTACCCCCCAGCCCCAATAAACTATCAGACTCAGAAGGCCTCAGCCCATGGGCAGGTCAGAATGGAACCTACAGGTACTGCCCCTGTGAATGTCCGCCCGCTGGCCTTCAGCCACCTGTCAGCACCCACTCGACTGGCTCATCCTTACATGGTGTTGGGCGTCCTTCACCATCTCTGGCCATCAGCAGCCCGCAGGGATGTGACTGTGTCCTCATTCTTATTTGCAGAGGGGGAGGCTGAGGCCCAACATGGTTCTCACATTGGAGGGTTTTCTTTCTCATGGGTGGGTGAGTAGGTTAAGGGACAAGATGATGTGATCTGGAAGTTTAGTTGACGATTGCTCTGGCTTCTGTAGGGAGAGTGGATTTGGGAACATGGATTTTGAAAGGGCAGGAAGGAGGCCACTGTGAATGTCTAGGCAAGAAACAGGAGTAGCTAGGGGGATGGCATGGCAATGGAAGAGGAGGAAGAATCCAGGAGATGTGGAGAAGGAGGGCCAGCGGGACCTGGGGAGGAGAGGAGGCAGAGGGAGGGCCCAGGGTACCCATTTCTCATTCTCCTCACCTGTGGCCACTGTTGGGCCAGTACCATGAATGGGCCGCTTTCGAAGGTTCAGAGTTACTACATAAGTCATCCCAGGCAGATCACGTAGCTGTTAAGTGGTGGAGCCAGAGCTCATAGTCTGCTGGCTCCAGATCCCACTTTGGTACCTACACCACTTCCCCCCACCCCAGCTCCTGGGACTCCCTTATCTGGAGGAGCAGCCTTCCATTCCAGCTGAGGGGAGGTAGAACCTTAACTCACATTCACATCATGGAGACAGAAACATGTTATGTGCTCTTCACCATGCTAAGCAGTTCATGAGCTTCTTCACATTCAGCCCCTGACCATCACAGGAGGGGCTGCTACCTTCTGCCACTAGCCAGCCAAAGACCCTGAAGCTCAGAGATCATCCTGGGCCCAAGGACTCCCAGTCATAAAGAGGGGCAGAGCCAGGATTAGAACCGAGGTCTGTCCTACCCCCTAGCTTGTGTTCCTGATGTCACACTGGACTGCTCCCTCAGTAGGGGATCAGTAGATGTGGCTGTTAGGGACTGTGCAGCCAAAGCGCAGGCACAGACAATACATGCATTCGCGCATGCGTACATGTGCTCAGTCCTAGGACTATGACAGAACAGCAGTCCCGCTGCACTTAAACTTCGGGGGTGCATGGGAAAGGGATTTTTCCTTCCATCTCTCTGAGAACCAAGGACACCAATGCTTCAATAAGCCAGTTCATTTCAGCTCTGTGATGTTTTTGTGACAATATTCTTTGACCTTGGGCAAGCTCCTTCCCTTCTGACCCTTAAGAGTCTTGTCTGTAAAAAGGATGGATTCAGTCTCAATATTTCTACAGCTTCTTCCGGTTCTACACGGTACCAATTCTAAGCCATGCACTTGTGTGAGGCAGGTCTGGCCCACAGGGCTTGAGTAGTCACCCCCCAGACACAGAACTGACTCAAGAAGCCCTCGGCCCACCCCCTGCCCTCTGCATGGGCCATTGCTCCAAAGGTATTGCTCCTCTGTGGTCTTTCCCCCGCCTGGGAACATCACAGAAGAGAGCGGCACCAAGGGGGGGATCCCCTGGGCCCCAGAGAACCGTGTGTGCCTGTCCGCAGGGGTCATGCCCAAGCACGGGCTGGATGTGTCGGCTTGCGAGGTGTTCCGCTTCTACAAGCTGGTGACTCTTAAGGGCCTGATCGAGCCCATCTCCATGATCGTGCCCCGGAGGGTGAGTGGGGCTGGGCAGGGCTCCCAAGGGCCCCATATTGAATCCTAGCCCGCTCCATGGTGACTGGAAGCCTTGAGGAGCCCAGAAGAAGGAGCCCTTTTCCTGTGGACTGGCTGGGGTGGGGAATGGAGGACATGCCAAGGTGGGGACAGTTCTGTCTGCTGATGAACTCAGGGCGGGAATTCCAAGTGGGAGACACTGTGAGTGCAAAGACTCGAAGGCAGGAGAGCAGGGAGCGTGGTTGGAGGTCGGCGAGGAGAAAAGTCTGACTGGAAAGCAGGGCTATTCTCAGCAGCCCCCCATCTGTTCCCTCTTCTGCTCCCCACACTATAGTCAGATTCCTACCAGGAAGACATTTACCCCATGACGCCAGGCACAGAGCCAGCCCTGACCCCCGATGAGTGGCTGGGAGGCATCAACCGAGGTAAGTACTGTTAGGGGTGGGCTTCACAAAAGAGGCTGAGACTGCGTGAGCTTTGCCTTCAGTCTGGCTCACCCCATGTCCCCCACACATGCTCCTGCTGGGACTTTGCCTCATTCTTGGCCAACTGTCAAGCATGGGGTAAATGAAAGACTGTCATTTCACAGTGCATCAGTTGTCAATGTGCCCCTTGCCTTTCTTAGATCCCGTGCTGATGTCTTTGAAAGAAGGCTATAAGAAGTCCTCAAAAATGGTATTTAAGGCTCCCATCAAAGAAAAGAAGAGCGTTGTGGTCAATGGAATAGATTTATTAGAAAATGTCCCACCCAGGACAGAGAATGAGGTAAGGAATAGAAGTTCTTTCCTGCACAGGCCCTGGAAGAGTGAGACCTTGGTGTTTCAACTGTGGGCTGCAGGCCTTCAAGCCAGCGCCATTCTGAGGCCTTTTTCTTTCTGTAACAAACACCCTAAGTAGCCTGGTGTTGGCTTCCATTACCCTGACCCCGATACAAAGAGGCTGGGGTATGATGCCCCCCTCCAACCTTCAAATTCACTCACCCACACAGTTACGCATGAATTCAGTCTCCTTGTGCATCCGCTCCAGAGTGTCGCTGTCACTTGGTGTTACAGGAGATAGAAATCTCTGCCTCACAGAGGAAAACCAGTCTCATGCATTCCAGCACTGTCTTCCTTCCTGGCCTTGTAGCACTGATGCCATCTCACAGCTTCCTGTTTTGTGGAAGATGCTGGATGTTTATGGAAATGCCGTCTGTGCCATTTGCAGTGGGAACATTCAGGGGCAGCCATAGCTGGGCCTTGTCCCTGCCCCCGAAGGCTCCTCTTTCCAACCCTACCCTCAGTCCCTGGTGCCAAACAGCTCAGCTCAGCTCAGCTCCGCCGGGACTCACAGAATGCTTACTGTGTGCCAGGCACTTGGCTTGATGCAGCTGAGGCAGAGATGGCTGCATAGACCCACCTGCATGTGAATCCTGGCTCTGCCTGAGCAAGTTTCCTGACCAAAGTCCATTTCCTCATGGCAAAATGGAGATATGAAATGCTGTGAGCGTGAGAGAGATACTCTATCTCTAAGTGTCTACACTCTTCCTGGCTCACACTAAGTGCTCAAAGAAGCTGACTGTATTAGCTATCCATGGCCATGTATCAAATTACCCTCAATCCTAGTGACTTAAACCCACAAACATTCATCATCTCATAGTGTCTATGGGTGCCTGTGGCTCGAGGTCTCTCACGAGGGTATGAAGTGTCAGCCAAGGCTGCAGTCACATCTGAAGGCTCATCTGCGTCCAAGTTCACTCACATGGTTGCTGGCAGGACTGGTTTCCTCCCAGCTTGTTGGACTGAGGATCTCAGTTCCTCGTAGGCTGTCAGCCAGAGGTGCTCCCCGGCTCGGGCCCTTGCCCCGTGGACCTCTCCATAGAGCGGCTCACAAAGCGGCAACTGGCTTCCCTTGGAGTGAGGAAGAGAGGGTGTCCGGGATGGGATGCCACAGTCTCTTTGTAACCTGACCTTGGGAAAGACATCTCATTACTCCTGCCATATACTACTCATTCGCTAGGCCCAGTCCACCGTGAGGGCAGGGGAGAACGTGGGGTGGGGGCATCTTAGAGGTTTCTTATCACAACAACTTATGGTTACCACTGTTACTCACAAAAATAAGCTATTCCTGACCTCTGGGACCTCACAGTTTTAAAGTGGAAATTCACAGGTAAACAGGCCATTATTATCCAATATAGTTATGTGCCATTATAGAGGGATGTTGAGATGTCTAGGGCTGGTTGAAATCATGTGATAAATAGGATTTGCTTCAAAATAACCCCTGAGGGGGGTGGTGCCAGGGAAGTGGGCAGGAGCCAATACCAAGAATAGGTAGATATCAAGCAGGAAAAGTGGTAACATGTCATTCGTTGAAGCTGATTGATGAGTACTTGGAGATTCGTGGTGTTAATCTTCCCACTTTTGTATGTATTTGGCATTTTCTAATACAAACTTTTTCGTGTACTCTGAGAAGGCAGAAGCACCCGAGTTGCTTTGCCAGCCCACGTGGGCCACACCGGAGCCTGAGCTCAGTTCTAGTGCTGGTGCGCCGCAGGCAGCAGGGACTGGCGGTGAAAGAGAACGCCACTAGCTATTGTCCGTGCGCATCAGAACCCAGGAGCCAGAGGAGAGTCGTACAGAGGCTCTGAGCAGACAGAACAGATGCCACAGTCTCCCTGCACTAAGGCCTGTGCCCGGTCCTCACTGCGAAGAGAGTCCCTCGGAGCCTGCTGACTCTGGCTTGACCTGCTGTTTTAGTCTTCACAGCAGCTCGGACGCAGCCCCATTAGAAAGGGGGCTGCAAACAGCAGACACGCCGATCTAAGTGCGAAGAGGTAACTGCAGGGCCAGGCCGGCCCCAGGGAGGACACTCAGGGGTCTCCTCTGTAATGTCACCAAAAGTCACTGGATGGCGTGCTTAAATTAAGGGAAAGCATGGAGTGTCAATTACACCCCCAATAAGGCCTTTCTAAACAAATACTGAAAAATTACACAAAGAAATGTTGAGAATTTGGAAGGCACAGGAGTATACAGAAGCACATAACGTATCTTCCCTCAGACAAAACCAGGGCTGTTTTGTTGTTTTTTTAAAAAAAGGCAGTTAGCCCTGGCTGGTGTAGCTCAGTGGATTGAGCACAGGCCTGCGAACCAGAGGATCACGGTTTGATTCCCAGTCAGGGCACATGGCCGGGTTTCGGGCCAGTTCCCAGCAGGGGACGCACAAGGGGCAACCATACATTGATGTTTCTCTCCCTCTCTCCTTCCCTTCTCCTCTGAAGATAAATAAATAAAATCTTTTTAAAAAGGCAGTTAAAAGAAGACATCATAAAAATGATGTATTCTTCAAACCACTCACTTTCATTTAAAACAAATACATTCATTCAACACATTTTGAAGCAGGACTGTTCCTTTGAGGACATCTCTGGCTGGGCTGGGCTGTGTTTTTCTCAAATTAATCACACGTCACCTCCAGTTTCATTTCTGTTACGTAGAACAAGTACTTAAAAGTCAATCTGAAAACAAAGCCCTAGTTTTTTTTTTCCAGGTTTCCCCCAGTTCTTTAAAAAGGAACGTCACCGAGGTTCAATTCACCTACAGTAAAATCCATCCTTTGAGGTGTGCAGTTCCCTAAGTTTTGACAAACGTGTAAAAGTTCTGATGCGCATGTAACCACCGCACACAACCCAGAGACAGAAAATCCCCCAGTGTTTTGTGGAACGTCACCTGCGCCTCATTCAGCAGTAGCATTTTTAGCATCACCTTTACCAAGGTTTTTCTAAAGCATTCCACTTAGTTTTATAGAAACAGCAACTGTCTTATTGTACTCACACTTCATCAGTTTATAACCTATTTAATCACATTATGCAATTACCAGAACAAATGGAACTCCCACCAGGAAGTTTGAGGATGAACCCAACTGCTTGTTAGTAACTTTCAACTCAGGCGGAGGGAGGGGCCTTCCAGGCCTCAGTGTTCTGTGGCCACCTGCCGTCTGTTTTACAGAGGAAACGGAGCGATGGGTTAATCCAGGGGATTGTCTAAGAGAGGGCCTGCCCTTGCCTGTGCCCAGCCTGCCGTGGGTCACTGCCTGGCACAAACTGCGGTGCTCCTATGGTGGTCCCACGTCTGCAGGAAAAAGGCCGGATTCCATTCTGTATCCGGAGCCCCCTTAGGCAAACATTTTAGAAAGGTTTCCATGCAGAACGGTAACTAAAAGTATTGGGTTTGAAGCTCTAAAAGGGTGAGGCCGGGATGTTTGGGGAAATGGCCTGCGTGGACTCCCCCCTTCCTCAGCGATCCGAGTCAGGCCCGGGGCAGGTCTGTCTCTTTTCTCTGCCTCACAGGGGAAAGTAGGAGTCGTGAGAGCTGCGGTGACATCAGGCATCTGGGACACCGCAGGGTGGGGCGGTGGAAGGTCTGGGGGAGGTGGCAGAGGCCACGATGGGGATCTGAGCAGGGGCGAGGGGTGGGGGTACCCACTCTGGAAATCACCTTCTTACCTCCTTTCTCCCCGCCCCTCTGTGGCCCCCTCTCTCTGTCCACCCAGCTCCTCCGAATGTTCTTCCGGCAGCAGGATGAGATTCGGCGGTTGAAAGAGGAGCTGGCCCAGAAGGACATCCGCATTCGGCAGCTACAGCTGGAACTGAAGAACTTGCGCAACAGCCCCAAGAACTGTTAGCTCTCGGTGGGGCTGCTTTCTAAGCCGATCTCTCCATGGTTTCTACTCGTCTCTTACCTTCCCCTTATCCTGTGACCCCAGAGACAGAGCCAGGATGGGAGCTGGGGAAGAGGCTGAGGAGGAGAGCCCCACCTGTCACCTCAAGAACTGGAAGCTGATCTTTGATCTCTTGACCTCATGCTAATAAAAGGTCCCAGCCTCTGCTGGAGACCCACCACTGGCAGCCCCATCTCCTGCCTGCCACTTTCCTGGCTGGACAAAGACCATGGATTCCCTGAGGGGTGGTCTCCACAGACCAGGGAGCAGAGGAGGAAACTGGGACCCCCGTAGATTTAGAACTGGAACCTTTCCCTTGCAAAGGAGGCTGCTGCCATGACTTCTCAGCACCCACTGCTGGGGATCACAGCACCCTGATGGACCAACCTGGAAGGGCTGGACGGCAGGCATCACCTGTTCTCCCTCCCCTCTCCTCCCCCCCGCAGCCCTGGAAGCCAGATTCATCTGACAAGGGTTGCAAGCAGCCCCGCTCCTTTCTGTCTCTTGCCCCCTCTTTCTTGTCTTCAGGGAATTAAGAGGATCGCTCGCCAAGGCCATAATGACCCCTTGCCTTCCCATGAATCTCTTCAAAGCTCTTGCAATACTCCTTCCCCATTTAACTGGTGAGGCAGGCAGCGTAGGGAACAGTGTCCCCATTTTACAAATGCCAGAACTGAGAGCTGCACTGGCGAAGTGACTTACTAAGTCACCCAACAGGTCAACAGTGGACCCAGGTCCTAGGGTGTCCAGACCCCAGGCCAGGGCCCTTCCCACTGCATCAAGATGCCAATCCTCTGGTGGCTTCCCCAGTGCCCAAGTATGTGTGGAGAATGAGAACTGGAAGCCACTTCTATCGTCTGCCCAACACCAGTAGTGCCAATGTGTCACACTGCCCAGTTGAGGCCCCTCACACTCAGTGCCCCTCCATCCCCTCGGCCCCCCTGCCCTGTTCCCCCCCAGGGGACTCCCTCTGAGATGAGGCCTCTTCCTCCTGGAAGCTGAGGCTGAGGAGGGGGAGTTGGGCCCCGGAGAAGGCACAGCAGGGGTCTGCTCACTTGCACCAAGTGGATGATGCCCTGTGTGTGTCTCTCACCACTACTATCTCAGCCACATTCAGCCTTATGCTCGTAGAATGACCACAGCCCTTCACGCTGGTGTAGCACTTTAAAGTTTACGCAGTTCTTCAATACATCGGATCTCACTGGAGTCTCTGGTCTGCTCCCGGAGGTAGGGAGCAGTCTTTCCATTCTGTAGATGAAGAAACTAAGGAGTGGCCTGAGGTCACAGACTCTTTGGAGATGTCACATTTCATTTGGTCTTCTACACATTTTCTTTTCTCTCTTTTTCTCCATTTCCCACCACCCACAGTGTCCATAAACACTGTTCTCCACAGAATCACCACAGTCTGGGGGTGAGATCCGGCCTGGGAATCAAGTGGGTGCCCTCCCTGCTCTTGTTCACTTGGATCTGCCGCACACATTGTGCCCTACACCTGCCTTTCCCGTGGCCACCCTGTAGGACATCCACCATGGGGGGCCAGGGTTCTGTAAGCCCCTCCTGGTGACCCAGGCATGGAGAGCCCTCCGGCCCTTGGGGTTCCCCCCGCCACCAGAACCACCCATCCTCTCGCCAGCCAGAGCAACATCTCACCCCCGCCCGCGCAGCTGGACAGTGTCAGCTCTCATTGCCTCCTCCCCACACTTCTTGCGCTTTTTTTTTTCTTCCCCATTGACCTTTGTGGTCTTCTGTGATTATTTATGCTGCCTCCCAAGGGTAGAATTGAAATAAAATGTTTTCAAATTACCAAACCTGCTTCTGGTCACCACCGTATCTTGATGGCCAACTCCCCCACCACAGCTCCCTTGCCTTTCTGGGACAACAGACCACATCTGTCTCTACAGATACAATTTCACACTTTCACTCACCTCAGCAAGGCTTCTAGACCTCAGCACTATTGGCGTCTGGGGCCAGATAATTTTTTGCTATGGGGCTGCCATGTGCAGTATGAGGTTTAGCATCACCCCTGGCTTCTATTGATCGGATTCCATAGGAACTCCTACCTGGTAGTGATAAACAAAAATGCCTCCAGGCATCACCCAAGGTCCCCCGGGGTGTCAAAATAGCCTCAGTTGAGAACCACGGTTCTGTAGTTATGCAACAGGCATCTGCTCTGTATCTAGCCCTGTGTTAAGATCTGGGGGACTCCAACATTTTACACAGGAATGATTTCACAGTTCACAAAGCACTCTTCCATGTACTTGACTCTTGCTCTTCATTCACAGCAGCTTTACGTATGTTCTAATATTCCCAGTTTCAACAAAGGGGTCAGGTGCAGTGTGGTGACATGCTCAAGGTTGCTCAGCTGGTATAGTAGGGAAGCCACACAAGGATGTGAATCTCATGAGCCAAAGCTAGAGAAGGCACACGCTCCCAGTCTCCAGCCAATCTCTGTGCTGTGGGCCAAGTTTGTGCTGGGGGAGGTCTGGGCCCCATCACAGACACGGGCTGTTGGATAGGGGCTGCCGGCCACTGGGAGGCCCTCATCTCTCACCAAGCCAGGGTTGTCATGGAGCAGACATGTCAGACTGCAAAGTGGACAGGCACATAGCAGTGTGGGCACCACAGAAAACTCAACACAGCCAGAGGAAAGCAATGAAAATCTTAAAACAGAGCTGGAGAGAAAACGAATAAAGGGCTGCAGCAGAGCCGTAGGCAAGACACCAGACACAGGGAGGGGTTATCCCTGGCCCAGCTCTGCCTCCAGCTGGGTATGCAACATTGAGTCTCACTTCTCTCCGAGCCTCACTTTCTCCACCTCTAAAATGAAGGGATAAGACAACTTCACAGTCCCTTCCTGGTCTAACACGTTTCTATTATACTAGCAGTTGTGAGATTGGGACAAATCCCCAAGACCACCCATAGTCTAGCACGAGTGGTGCAAAGAAGAATATCAGGGGAAGGGAAGCAGCAGGACAGCTTCCTCCAGGGGTTGGTGCAGAAAAATGCTCTTGCTACACGTGAATTCAAAGACACCCCTGGAGTTTCTGCTGTAGATCAGCTCACAAAGCCCTGAGCCTGAAAGAAGCACCGTATCACTGAGAGTCCTGCTGCTTTTCTCTTGGGATGCTGAGGAAGATGGAGCTAGTTCCTTGACTAGGGCTTCCCCACACATCCATCCTTGCGCCCACCTGGGCTCAGGGAGCAGGCGAATGGGCCAGGTGATCTGTCTCATGTTTGTCTGTCCCATTGAATCCCCAGTTCTGAGCTTAACTGGATATCTCTGTAATCATTACTCATTATGAAAAATTGTCTACGGTCAGGGTCAAACACGATTGCCCCCCAGTTGGCCTATTTCTCAACTGTATATGTTAAGTAGGGATGATCCCTCATTGGATGTCTGTGTGTCTTGTAGTCCTTCGTATACTAAAGCATATGCTGCCTAGTCTGCTGTGCTGACCCAGCCATGGCCTGGCCAACCACACGGCTTTGATTATTGAAACAATGGAGGACGCAAGTCCCCTCTGGCTCTTTGAACCTGCTCTTACTGCCATGTTCCCCACCAGGTGCTTGCTCCCCTCTTTTCTCCAGTGAAGATATAGGCTAAACTCCGAATCCTTCTCTTCTAAGAAGAGGTCCTCCTGGGCATGCCTGCAACTCCTTGTCCTGACCATCACACCAACTTGGATTTTCAACTCAATACTTGGGTAGCTAGATCTGCTCAGTACTTGGTGCTGGGAACCCAGTGACAGGAAAGAATCAGGCCTGTCCTTGGGGGCCTATGGCCAGTGGTCCATCCGTTGGCATCGCGTCATCTAGTGGTACAAAGAGCCCCTGGAGGCTGGAATGAGCTCCACCCTCTGCTTGGTTCAGCATGGAATAGGCAGTCGTGGGATTTGCTGACTCCCAGGGTCTCTCCCAGACAGCCTCCTGAGATCCCAAGGTGGACTCGGGCATTTTCAGTCTCTCTCCTGGTACTGGGCAAGCGTCCCAGACTGCCAGTGGACCGTACAGAACGGTGCTGCTTCTTCACTGTGGGAAATGACTTCATATTGAAAACACTCCTCTACACACAAGGCCTCCACCCCTCAGCCTTGCTGCCTGCAGCTGGAGCAGACACTTACCTTGGCCACGGGAAGCATTACCGCATCCCTCCTTGTCCTCCCCTGGGCTGGCCAGCCCAGGGACTGCAGGCCTGTGGTGCAGGGAGGGAAGGGGGCCCTGTCTGGGATGCTGGCAGAAGCACCTTGTGTTCTGTGCAGTGTGTTTCTGTTTGGGAACACCCGCAGCCTGACTTCCCTTGGAATTTTAATTCAGTAACAAACACAAATGGGTCAGCCTTCCTTAGAAAAAGGGAGCATCTACAGGGCTGGGTCTGGGGAGTTTTAGGAAGCTCCTGTTCCATGGCCTCTGCTTATACCTACCTGGCTGTCACCCTGCCTGGAATCCTCCCACGAGCCCACAGTCATTGCCCAGACCAAGCCCTCTTCACACTCAGACCCCTGGGATTGGGGTACTAATGTGAAAAGGGTTAACAGATTGAGTGAAGGAAACAAGGACAATGAAAAGGAGGGGGCCCAAGTGGGAGAATGGGGGTGAGGACAGAGATCTGGGATTTCAAGGTCACAGCGATTAAGGCAAGATTCAAAGACCAGAAAGAGTTTGCTCAGAGCTTGGATCCAGCCAGCAGGTGGCAGATTATGGCCTTCCTATCAAGCCCATTTATTTCCTAAATGGGGTCTCTTCTGCCACCTGCCACCCCACCCCAGAATTAATGACCCAGCCAGAAGCACCAGGGCCTGGTGGCAAAGCAGGCCCAGAGAAGAGCCAGGACCTGAATCGCCCCAAGTGTAGGAGAAGGGAGGCTCCAAAGCCAGCAGCCCACCCTCACACTGCCCCGGGCCCCTGTCTCCAGGGAGTGGCCAGAGGAGGGCGCCCACCACTCTGTCTTCTGCAGAGGCCACCTCCCCAGAGTAGTTGGAAAGAGGCTGGATCTAGGTTCACATCCCAGCCCAGCCCTGCGCCTGACCTGCTCTGTGACCTTGAGCAGCTTCCCCACCAAGGGACAATGATAGGGAGGAGCCCCAGAGACTGCAATTCAATTAGGCCTGGGCCCGAAGAGGTGGCCAAAGGAAAAGCTGGGAACTTGATAGGGAGGAGGAGCAGGGGCTCCGGCCAGCTCTGAGCAGCCCTGGTCTACTCAGTGTCCAGGAAGTTCCTGATGAGACAAACAGGAGCAGCGCCCCAGGCACGGACGCAGGCCTGGGACAGAGGAAGAGGGGTCGCATCCAGGCTTTGAAGCCCTGAATTCTAGACGGGGAGCCAAGAAAGGACTTGAAGCAGGAATGGACACCTCCCTCTGGCAGCTGCAAGGGAAAAGGGTTTGACAGCAGCACTGAAGCAAGGAGCCGGGTCAGAAAGGGTGAGACACCAGCCCAGGGGGAGATGGGGACTGGGGGTGTGGGCCCAGGGCAATGGTCAGGGCAGACTTCAGCGTGGACATTTGTGGTCAGGGGTGTGGGGGCAGGAGGGGGAGGAGGAGAGGGACAGGGAGAGCCCCCAGGCATAGAACCAGGGCTGGGATGGGAGATGAGCCACCCTCTGCCAACAGATGGGGACCCGTACATGGTTCTTTATACCTTTCTCAAACCAGCACCACCCCCAACGGGGGTGGGGGGCCTCAGACAATGCTGGCTGCACCCTGCTTAGCAAGGGTCCTTGGGACCAGCTGACAGAGGAAAGGCATCCTTAGAAAACGCATTGGGATCTTTTACTGCTGAAAGATCTGGCTGTGCCGTGGGGCTGCCAGGCACTGCCATGTGGAAGTCCCTCCCCCGCCCCACCCCCAACTCGGCCCGCACCAGACTCTCATCCATTTGTTTGTCCTATGGCTGGGTTGTCCACCATGATCATAAAAATGGGTTAATTTCCCCCCCTCTTTGCCTACTGGAAGATCTGAGAGTTTTCATTCAAAAACTATTTCATCAAGTGCCTGTTCTACACCAAGTGTTGTCCTAGGTGCTGGGACTGAGGAAACAAACAAGACGTGGTTCCTGCTCTCAGAGAGGTTCCGCTCCAGTTTACACTTAAAATTCCGTGCAGGGCAGAGGAATGTGCCTGGGAGCCCCCAAATGATTCACAGTGATTATCTTGGGGGGATGGGATAGCAGATTAATTCTGCTCCTTTTTAATAGCTGCATTTTTCTACAATAAACAATCTTTCTCAATAAGAGAGGAAGGTACTGTTCAGCTTTTAAAGATATTCCAAAGACATATCAAAGCTTAGGATTTGCCACCAACTCTTTCTCCTGGGATGGAACTTCAGGCTTGTTCTGTTCAGCTCACCAGCTATGGGTATGGGGACCTTTCCTCCCCCATCGCCACTGCCCCTCCGGACCAGAAGAGATTGCCCACGTGGGTAGCTGGATGGGATGAGCAGACTCTGGCCAGGGGTCAATTCCGCTGGACACTGACAGGTGGAGTTCTGGCAGGAGGCTCCCAGCGCTTACCCCCCACCCACCGAGCTGCACAGCTCACATGGATCCCTGTACAAGCAAAGGTGGCAACAGGTTCACGCTGGGGCCCTGGCTCTGCTTTCCATGGATCCAGCTGAGGCTGACTTGGCCTTCCCTGGTCCCTCTAGGTCTGTCTGGCCCCACCCACTGCCCTCCTGCCATACCACCCTACGTGGCCCCGGTTCCTAGTCTTGCCTGTGGAGGAGCAGAGTGCACCAGCTCTTCACCTCCATGGCATAAACCCTGTGGCCTGCTTCCTCTGGCATCGAGTCCTTTCTGCTCCAGTCAAA